AGGATTACGGTTAAGGCATGCTGTTAGCGTCATCCACCTACAGTCTCTTCACAGGGGGTATTTACTCCCTTCTTGCCCACGGGACAATTAGTAGAGCGGCCTGATATCAAAGTAGGATGATAACTGTTTGAAGCCTGATAGCAACTCAAAAACTGCCTATCATGCCATCTTCGACCAAGTACACGCGCTACACCCTCAATTTCAGACGGCGTGATGCCGTTCCCGTTAAAACATGCGGGTAAACGTTTCGAGACCCAACAAAACTGCTCAGTTTTAATAGCTTTTTCTCATTGCTTGGTAATAGATACCTACAGGTCGCGATGGCTCAATCAGTAGAACAGCCGGCAGGAAGTTAATATGTAAAAAATTAGAGCATATGGGCTATTGTGAAACTGAAAGGATGATAGAGGTAGTTTTATCTGTAGGAAAGATGAACGAGGTAATAAACAGCGTCTGTGGAGTGCAGTAGAATTACTCAGATTTCTAGCATATGTTTGTTTTATTACTCCAGTGAGGCGCTGGAACACAATATGAAATATGCAAATAAGGGGTGTGTAATTTGACGGAAAAAGGAAATCCAGTCTTCAGTTTAATAAATTTGGATTGGATAACACGGTCCGTAGCAGGTAAACTTGATCATATCATTAATTTTAACTCTGAACCTAACTCTTTACTTAACACTTCTATTTAACCGAACCTTAACCTTTAACCCAACACTTCAGTTGAAGTCGAAGGAAGCGCGTCCTACTCAGGTAGAATTAGCGCTCTTTTGTTACTCTGTTTATGCTAAGAGAAGCAGGGTTTAAAGGAAAGTTTCTGAAACTCGATCAAGTCCCCACAACTAGAAAATATCTGTCTGCCTCTTTTGTTTTTTTTTCAACTGTTAGTCAAGGATAACTTCGTTCTCAAAACCGTTGACACAAATGGTCGTGTATCGTCAATTTCGGCTTCGAAAGGCCAAATTATAGTGACCGCCTGTAACTTCAAACATTTGAATAGTTTTTAATGCAGACAATAGGGAAGACGAAAAGTTGTTGCGAAATTAATATTAACCACTGATTCTCCAACGGATATGGCCTCGCCTTGCGAATAAAATGTACAGGAGTCGGGCTTGGTGGTTTTGGCTCAGAAGCATGGAATCTGGGTCGGTGATTCGATTATGTCTCATAGCAAATCCATTCTACTTGTTTGATTTCCACCCTTCCCAATATTGGTCATAGAATGTTAGTTGTTACACAGACGGGGGGAGGTAAATAATACTAGGCTGATATTCACATCGGCATCCTGCAGTAACACACCTCGATCACGCAACTGTTGTCCATAAAGAGAAGGAGAGTTGGTTCTGGATCATTCGGTTTGGCATATCGCCAAATCAATTTCCGTGCAACGGCCGGAAGTCTTGCAAACCCGATGGGCTCCAACTTCTGTCCTTCGACATGAAAGGTGAAGAGTGTAAGATCGTCGCCCTACAGAGAAAGTAAACAGGACGCAGACAAAATCAGACTACAAGTGTACACAATTGCCCAAAAACCAGTACAAGAATGACTTAATAAAAAATGTAACCTAAACCAATAAGGCATAAGTTGGCTTAGAATATCAATTCCCTTACTAGATATCTTGCTAGTATTGTAACCTCCCAAAAGACCAAGAACTAAAAAATATCTTATTTACACTAGGATACTGGTTTATGAATCGGCTTCTTTCCAAACGCTGACAAAAACCACATTTGGTAAAAACGATTGTTTAAGTAATATGCATTTTCTAATTGGTTTTCGATTTCCTTATTAATTTAATTATATTGGGTGGAAAAAATGCAGGAAAATATCCTTTCTCGTATTCTTTTAAAAGCACGTTAAGTCTCGTTCAAAGGTTATTTTTTGAGAAAGGTTATTTTTCGGTCTTTAAAAATATGTAATTAACACATTTCTAAGACCCTAAATTATCCATATGGGAAGCATCGTATCTGTCAGTTTAGCAATTTTATCTATAAAGCATGCAATATGTTCTTCGTCCAATGCAAACTTTTGTGAGCACTTCTAGGAAATCTATCTAACAGCGTAGAGGGATACGTGATTTTCCTTAGGCAGAATGTCTACAGCATGTAGTTCGCAAACCAAGAATGCAAGTGTAATGACAGTTCAAAATCATTCGGCAATTGAAAAGGGTTTTTTAGACCGGAAGGATATGCTTTCTTGAAGTAAAAGAGTAAAGATGTCATACGCTACCCAATGTGCATAAAAAATAAAATTGCTACACAGGATTTCTATATAATATATCTGAATATATAAGAACCTTAAAAATTAAACAGGAAAATGCATCCTACTTAAGTAGTTCAGTTTACAGTTTCGTTTTTACAGAATTTCATTCAAACGCCGATACGCTGATGTGACTGAGGTATCGTTGGATTATGCTCTCCGGTAAGTAATATTACAGCCCTACCTAAGTAATCTTTTCGAAACGAAACAGATTTCAGAATTTTGGTTAACATTTCAGGAGCCAGCACATCCGATGCGCAAGTCAAATTATATGAACTAATAAATGCGCGAAGAGGTGTGTAGTGTGTGGAAGCACTAACCGATGAAGCAAAGAACTTTCCCCGTTCATCGTAGGCCATCGCCCGCACAGCATCCGAGTGCGGCTTCAGCACCTGTATGAGTTCAAGGTCTGCAACAACAGCCGGCTGCTGATAGTCGTCAGTACGCTTGCTCTGGCCGATCTGCAGGATACGCACGACTCCGTCCCCGAAACCCGCGATTATCGTCTTACTCTTGGGGTCAATCTGTTCAGAGAAAAAGACAGGGTGAGTATGGATACCTAACTGATAATGATCAGTAGAAATGCCTGTAACAAACAGTTCTACTACCGCATAGATGAGACACTGTGTATTCTGAGATGATATAATAAAGACGAAGAAAGTTTCGCCGGAAAAATCGAGATGCACTCGTTAATTTTCCAGTTGATGATATTAATCTGACGTCAGACGAAATGAACAGAAGACAAAGTGAAATGGTCAGCTTAGACCAGTTGAGGCGACAGGACAGACACGTACAGACAGGCAACCAATGTTTGAAGAGAAGCGGTGGACAAATGGTTACAGTAGAACTTAGGGCGGGGGAACGGGGCGAGAACTGCTAAGGCTCCCTGTGTATGAAAGGGGGGAGTGGCGAGGCAGTGAGATTCAACATGGGCCAACATAAATTAGCTGTCTTTTTTAGGTTGTGGGCGTGAAGTTGATTTGAAATCAAGCATAAAAAATCTGTTTAACATTCTTTAAAATAGCTCAATATTCGATCTTTGTTGCCATAACCTTAAAACTCTTTTGATTTGCCATTTTCATTTTTAAATAAGGTGATTTTCGTAAGGATAATGGACGCCACAAGAGTTGAAAATTTTACCTTTTTCGGAACCCAAATTACGACAGAACCGGGAGCACAGAACCTATGTTCCACCAAAACCGCTCTCTTTGGTAGATCGTAGACGCGGATAGAACCTGAAATGTTTTTTGGTAAAGGTTTGAGTTTCGGGCAAAAACATTAAGCTAACAACACCTGCCATATTAAAAAAAGTTAATTACATATTTACACTAAGATGTTCAGCCTAATGGTAGCTCCGTACTTCTATGGTAAAAGCAGGACAAGTTGGAACTACTGTCTCAAATGACAAGTTTGGTATGAAAAAAGTATGAGGATGAAAGACGGGGAATTAGAAGCCATCCCTTATGCGAGCGACTTTTTGTTAAATTTCAGTAGGATTACCCAGTTCTGTGTTCTAACTCTACTCCTAATAATAACACTGACATTAAGTTTAGCCCTGGCTGTAAACGGAACAATAAATTTAACCCTAATTGTAATCTTTTTGGACTTTATCGCATCACGACAGAAATTCCTATTCCTGTGTTCTACAATTAGGTGTGCGGAATCCCACAAAGGCTTAATACATACAAAAAGATGAGGGAAATCACAAAGGTTTTCAAAACCTACATTCTAATGTCAATATAACACTTCTTAAGAAAGGAGTTACTAAAACATAAGCACCTGGAAACAGTATCACGATGCGTGGGGCGTTCGATCATACTGACGATATGTGCGCTTGGAAGCGGATTGGACCACGTTCCCTAGTCACCCGCAGCTGCATGAGGCGACTGTGCGGGCTTCGTCTGATCGTCAAGAAACCTTGATCCGCCCCCGAGGACCAAAGATAGATTTTACGGCATACGCATTCATACAAGATCCGAGACTCTTTTCTCTATGGGGTCTGAATCTTGTGGAGCAGGAAACAACAAGTGTGCGTTTGCGGGTTGTTTAACCTCTCCACTCACAATGGTGATACACATTTCTAGGTAGATGTGGTGCTATAACACGACAGTTCAACGGTCGGTTTCGACAACGTCCACCGCGTGCTCCAGCTAGCTAGAGACAACCGCGGTGATCCGCACGTGGATTAGTTTTGAAGGATAGTAAACGTTCGCAATATCTACCGAACTCTCTCCTCCTCCACCCAGAGTCAAGAAGATTGAAGGCGATATTAGATGCAGTTGCCTGGCACGGCCGAAGCCACCCCTATGCGTGCCCCCACGTCCCCCCTCCCATGCTCGGCATTTTATTATGAATACACACCCCGAATAACGCCTGCCGTGCCCTGATCTGCCCTGTGTTCGTCCAGCGCACTTATCATGCGGCCCGTTTAGGGAGCCCGATTTGCTATAAAAAACCTCGCGCGCAGACTACCATGTCATCAAATACCGGACAGTGGTGAGCTTTGGCACATGGTACAGGGAGAGAAGTGTCCGGTTCCTCAACTTTCCCTGTGGGATTTCCCGTTTGCAGTTTAGTGTTTAAAATAAAATTAATAACTTTCTTGGACAGTCGTAAATAACGTTGGAACTGTTGGCTTTAGCCATATTTATATAAAGCTGAGGGGAACCTTACCATCAGCGCCAATTGTCGTGGCTAGGTATGAGGAAGGTGAGACGTCACAATCTACAATTGCTCCAGCGTGATAGGACAGAATCTTCTGCGGCGCAGCGGAGGTGTGAGAGAAGGATAGGTCCAGTTTCCACACCGCACCATTTGCGTCCTATTACAAGCGATAGAAAAAGAACTGTATGTGGAAAAAGACGTCGAAAAGGCAAAAAAACCTATTATCTCCACAGGCACTTAAACAACCGTTAGGCTAAAGTAAAATAACACTATTGATTTCCCTTCTCTATTTCCTTCAGTCTCCCTCTTCGAACCCAGCATCCATAAAATACTTCAATGCACCAATGGTGGCGTAACAGGTGACGTGCCCTCCCCCCGACCCAAACGCATTAAACCAGACTTGAAAATAACCTTGAAGGGAGTTACCGCCAAAGAAATGAAGCACCCAGTGAGATTCGCACCGCAGTCTACAAACCAACGTTAACTTGGACTAAATTCCACCTAAACTTGTGGTAACCATGACCGTGCCTATCGTACTAGCCGCTATGTAGCTACTGACAGGACTCGAGAGAGTCCTAATGCAGAAGGAGGCGAGTGAGCCCCATAGTCGATCAGTGAGCATTTATCCGCCAATGACAATATTCCCGATCTCAACCGACAATAAAACCAGACCGTTGCTTAATTGTTCGAGCGCTGGGCTTCTAATCAGCAGGTCGTGGGTTCGAATCTCGGGTGGTGGACCATCTAGGGTTGGATATGGCTGGCTGATGGCAGTTTACAAGCTAGAAATGGCCATTCCAGTCCCCCTTGTCTTTGACGGTAATGTCCAGTTTGCATTTCGTTCCTAGATAGTTTCAAACTAGCAACAGTACTTAAACGAGACCTTCACAGACCAGGTTACGCAAAAAAACTTTTGATGCAGTTGGTTGGTAAGGGCACAATTTACAAACATTTATTTATCAGGGTACATACCGTTACATAAGGTCAAGACCTCTCTACGTTGTAAAGCAGCACTGAAAATAACAGTTGTATAATTAGCAGGTCGTGTGAAGAGCTTTGGTGAGCAGGATATTTAAAATAAATGAACACACTAGGTATTTCACCCAGTCAGCGACCAAACAGCTATTGTGCTTTTCAACAGCTCTTTTTGTAAGAAAGGCAGTTCAGAATTTTAGAAAAACCGTTTTAAACGGGGAATCGCTAGTGAATCCCCTTCATCTTACCTGACAATACCAGAAGATGGTTTCCCTATCAACAACTTTCTCCAGAAACATTAATTTTGCGTCGGTATCGACCTGAAGCTCGTTCATTGGTTCTAACTCAAAAAGGGCACCCTCGGATGGGCATTCGGCGGTGTCCACAGCTTCAAACTCCCATGTCTAAAATAGGAAGAAACAGCACTTCTTGGTTTATTTTGATATGCTACGTGTCCGTCTCGTGGCAAAACAGCTAGCGACTGCGCGGTAACAATTAAGTTGGTCTATCACCTTAGGTACCCCTTACCCTAGAATACTGTCTTACAGGACCGGTGGTACTAGTTTATTTTTTATTCTAGTCTTTAATTTATTAATTTCATTTCAGTTTTAGTGTAGTTTAATTTTTAGTTCAGCTTAGTTTAGTTAATTTAGTTTAGTATATAGTAGCTAGTTAAGAATATTTGCCAAACTTTGCCTGGATCTGACGAGACTAAAAACTGAACCAAACTTCAACTAACAAACTAAATAGTAAACTAAACAAAATAAACTAAACAAAAACTAAGGTAAAACCAATAAAAGTAAAAGTACCCACAAGACTAGGGGCCAGGGATATCTAAGGTTGTAGACCAACGTAATTGTTACCGGCTGCACATATTTGTCAACAGTTCCAGAATACTCTTCCCGACTTCTTTTTTAAGTTCACGGTGGTTGTCGAACTCGCTAAAACTTTAAGTTACGACCGTCCCTTTGTGAGTGGTAGGAGCAGTGATGAGCACTTCTCTTTCAAGCTTTATACTAGAACAACGTTGCTGTTGACCAAAATTGTTCAGTCTTTCGCGTCAGTATGGGAACAGTTGTGTACTACGAGAGATGCCAGATGAAGCATGAAAAAAGGCAGCAGTTCAGGAGTTTTAGAATTCAATTTCAAGGTTGTTGACACACCAACGTTGACTGCTGCACTCATGCGGGGTATCTGATGCTGGCTCTAGCCGCGTAGCTTGGTGATTCTTCTAGGTATCAAGGTGGCAAACAACGGTTGATGAGAAGCTGTTAGCTATGGAATATAAATCTCTGTGTAAAGCTGGAAATCTGCCCCGCTGAGGGCGTCGCCAGGTAACGAAGTCTAAGTGCCCGGCAGAACTACGTAAAATCATAGTGAGACGGACTTCACACTGTAGAGTTTTATCCCCTAACGGGCTAAATTCACTTCCAAAGCGAGATACTACATTAACTGACCTTACCCCATTTAGTCTGCTTGCATTGGACCAAAACGTTTATCAAGCAAACTGATAGGTTAAGTTACCCGAACTGTATAAAGGAGGAAATGCATATATTGAAGCCTGTAAACGGGAACAGACTATTGATAGTCAGTAGAGTGCTCAATTGGTTTCATTTCGAGTCCAGCGTCTACTGACTCAAAAGCTATTCCAGTTTTTATGGGTCTATGCCTGCCTAAGGCACTTTTACGCTCCCCTTGTGCTGCACATGGCCAATAGGATCACATGAACGAACTTGCGTCCGAAAGAACGTCTCACCCCGAGACCATACTATCCTCCCATTCGTTTCCTTACGGATGCCAGCTTGAGACAATCACCGAATGGCGGTCTACATATACAAGATGGCGAAAGTAGATTTCTGTACTTTACTAGATTATTTTCGCTAATTCTAAGTTGCTTGTGTTTCGAAAGTAAGGATTTAGATAACTGCAGGATTGAATTCAAGGCAAAACTATGAAGTCAAATGTGAACGTAAACTTACCCTTATGTAGCCGTCAGTGCCGATGGTCATTAACTCTCCTTCATCAATTATGATCTGCATAATAAGCCCCGTGTGACAGGGACGTTGGCCCTTCCTGCAAATCTGCACTTTGATGAGATCACCCTCCCATACAATGAGGTTGCCCCACTCAGAGCCGGAGAGAACTTTTCCATCGGGCATAGTGACAAAGCCCTCAATATCAGACAGCTCCACCTTGCCGAATTTTCCAATGTTGCCTTGCAGCTTCAGACCAGTGAAGGTGTTGGCCATCTTCCAGAATTTTATGTGGCCTGTGCCGGCGGTTGTGAGAATTCCCGGCAAATCGGCAGACCAGAGAACTCGGAAGATGTCCTGCGAAAAGGCTTTGTTGCGAAGAACGATGCGTTCTTCCCTCCAATCCCAGATTGTCAGTAAGAAATCAGGGTCCAGTCCAACGGTTGCGATGAGATTTCCGTCGGGTCTGAAATGGGATGTTAATTTTAAATACCTGATTCATATAATCTGAGCGTTAGAAGTAAAATATTCGTTCTGATTTATCATGTTCGATCTGACCTAATTCATCAAAGGCATTGTTCACGCAAAATGCCTTAACAATTGGGGTTTGTCCGCAGAAGGATGCAAACCAGGAATAAAATTTCTGAATTAATTATTATCGATAGATAAACATATACCAGTCTTCCTCCATGAACGCTCAACACCGTGTGTATCGCGTTAACCTTCTTCGGAATATAAAATAGGTTATCAGACTTATATTGCAGCACGCTACCTCGAATGGTTAAAAAGATCTCTTGATTTACTGAGATAAACTAACAGTTGTGTTTCCTTTGCGTTCAGTCGCATTCAACACTCATGATCGCCAGGAGGATTTGAGTTGTCTAACATTATACCTAGCGACTGGTATAATGCCAGTTATCATCAGTGAACTGTGTTCCAACTATTGGTACTTCAGAAGAAGAAGATGCGATCACCTCTTCTAGACACACTGGAAAGGCGTCATTTTTTTTAGTAAAACGGCAATTTCTGTACCAAGTGCAAACAACTGCGATGAATGCGGAATCCGTTAATTTTGATAGACATGCCTCAGAAGTGCAACTGCGCTCGTGCGTTGAGTATCCTTACCGGTGGATGGCGTTGGTACTGGGCTCGGCTGCTTTTGTTAGCAACAACCTACGCAAACACATGCAATCGAAAAAAAATCCCGTGCGCAATGCGCGCACAGCAGACAGGATTCAAATGTCAAGGGCCAACAGCATTGCAAAATCAAAATGCTGTATGTATTCCTCCGCTGATCGGCAACAGCATATTATGGGTACCACCACGGAAACCAAAAGCTCGGTGGTAGTGATAATTTTTTAATGTATTGTTTAATTTTTTATTTAATTTATTACATGTTATTTTAATTCATTTTTTCAATTATTGTGCGCATTTCCGTCGATACATATTAGCTTTTTATGAGCATTTTATCTTCTATTTCCTGTTTTGTTTCCCATATTTCTTTTATTTCTTCTCATGTGCCCTCGTAACATCTCACCCGTATAACTCCCAATACACCGGTCCCGTATCGCAGAATTCTGGGATTTTGGTTTCAGTGGCGGTATCTATAATATACTGTTACCCGCTGATCTACGACGACGAAGACATAAAATCGGGAGGCTGAGCTTGAAACTTGCTTTTGTGGCCCTAAGGATTCCCCGCTTTGCATCGCCATCTATATCTTGTGGCTTGAGTATGAATCTGATGTGGTCTTTACGGCAAAAGGGGTGAGAGAAGAGAGATACTGCGGCAAATACCACGCAAATCACCGGTGTTGCGTCCATTCCACAATGCCAGAGATAGATGCCGCCAAGGCTTCATGTGTGCACACCTGTTTTTTGTTTGGCTACAGGTTTTGGTTGGAACAGTAATAAACCTGGAGCAGCTGGTCTCAGGCTCTCCTGTCCCTAGCGGTCAACAGCTGATCATGCTCACTTAGTGGCTTTGTGACCTGAAAGGGATTCAGCTATTCCAGGTTAGATAACGGCGCTAAACGTTAATTAACTCAGTCCGCATTTGGCCCTTTGTATATTAATTTCGAGAAAATGCAGCCAAAATAGAAATTCGTATTGGAGCTATTGTAGGTGGAAGATAACCACTGTCAGTGTTAATGTGGACTGCAGTGAAATCTTGCATACTGACCTCGACTTCATCCGCTTTATAGCTTCAGTGGCATCGTAATCGCGATGGGATGGATAAAATCAAACCCGCCCGGAGGTCTTATTGCCGTATTTAAAAGTGTTGGACAAGGACATGTCGTATCTGTCCGCTTCCTTACTAAAATATGAGGAGGAGCAAGACGAAGAAGAAGATATGGAGGGGAGAAGGAGGAGGTAAGTGCAAGTCTAGTTAGAAGCATTGACACACTTAAATCATTTGGGTTTTTGCATGGTTCGGCCAACAAAACATTACATCACAATGTGAGCAACTCACGTGAACTGGGTGTAGGCATAGGCTTGCTGAGTGCCATTCCTTAGAATGCGAAATAGTTTCAAGGACGGATACTCATAAATGCAGGTGTTCGGTTCGGTCCCCTTTTCAGCCAACGCAATATGCGTCTTTTGCGGATGCACTGTGCATGCACCGATCCCAAAGCCGCTCAGCGATCTCACATAGACCTTTTCGCCAGTACTCAATGTCAACAGCTCCAAGTAGTTGCCCGAGATGAAACAAATTCGGTCCTTATCGAGAACATGCAGATTGTCTCGGCGATGCATGTCATAACCAAAGGAGTGATAAAGCTTTACAAGATTTTCTGGCAAGCCACATTCCTCTTGAATAAAGGGCCTGGAAACCTCCTCCTCGATGTCATAGTAGAAGTCATCGGGTATGTGAAGGGGGTCCCCCTCCTCTTCCTCAACCACTTCCTTGTTTGCGGGTGCCTCGCCGTCGGCC